TTTATTTTCTAGTTCTAAGGATGAAGATCCCAAAAAGGACTCTTCTCTTAATGTACTTTCTTTTGATTCTAATAATATGAGCTCTATCTCCGAGTATATGCCTTCTTTTGAATCTTTTGAATGCTATAATATTCAATCTAATAAAGATGATAACATTAATAAGTTGGTTGAACTAATGAATGAACGAGAACAAAAGAACCCTATCATTGAAGAAACTGAAACAATCAATATGGGAACTAATGAAAACAAAAGACAAGTCAAAATTGGCTTAACTCTAAATCCGGAAGAGCAATCGACCCTCATATTGACGCTCAAAGAATTCGAAGACGTGTTTGCTTGGTCATACAAGGACATGCCTGGAATAAATAGGGAAATCGCAAAACATACCATTCCCTTGAATCCTACCTCTAAACCAGTAAAACAAAAACTTCGACGAATGAAACCTGACATCGCACTAAAAATAAAAGAAGAAGTACAAAAACAATTGGACGCAGGTTTCATTCGCTTATGTAATTATCCAGAATGGGTAGCGAACATCGTCCCAGTCCCTAAAAAGGATGGACGAGTTCGCATGTGTGTCGACTTTAGGGACCTTAATAAGGCTAGCCCTAAAGACGATTTTCCTCTACCACATATTGATATATTGGTAGATAACAAGGCTGAACATGCGATGTTATCCTTTATGGATGGATACGCAGGTTACAACTAAATTTTAACGGCAAAAGAAGACGAAGAAAAGGCATGCTATATTACCCCTTGGGGGACGTATTGCTATATAGTCATGCCATTTGGTTTAAAAAAATGCAGGAGCTACGTACCAAAGAACGACTACGACTCTCTTGCATGATATGATGCATAAAGAAATAGAAGTGTATGTGGATGATATGATCGTAAAATCCAAAGATAGAATGGGACATATAAAAGCTTTACGCAATTTTTTCACTCGCATAAAAGATTATAACATGCGATTAAATTCACAAAAATGCGCCTTCGAGGTAACTTCTGGCAAGTTACTCGGATACGTAGTAAGCACTCGCGGTATTGAGATTGATCCCTCTAAAATAAAGGCAACAGAAAAAGAAATTAGGGGGTTCCTGGCAAATTGCAATACATTAGTCAATTAATTAACAAATTGACTATGACTTGTGAGCCAATATTCAAAAAATTGAAAAAAGAAGGAAAAACATGAATGGGACAATCAATGCCAAAAGGCCTTTGAGAAAATCAAAGATTATCTCAAAAGTCCACCAATTTTAGCACCACCAGTACCCAAACTACCTCTTAGGCTATACATAACAATTACAGACACGGCCACAGGAGCCATGTTAGCACAAGAGGTAGAAAAAGTCGAGCGTGCAATATATTACATAAGTAAAAACTTCATCCAATATGAAACAAAATATAGCACTCTAGAAAAGACGAGTCTAGCATTAGTGTGGGCAACTAAAAAATTACGACATTATATGCTACCACACACCACTCATGTGATTTCTCAACAAAATCAAATAAATTATTTGTTTGAACAACCAACTATACAAGGAAGAATATCCAAATGGTTGGTGATGTTGGCCGAATTTGAGTTAAAATATATTCCAAAAAAATCAATGAAAGGAAAAGTAATTTCCGACTTTCTGGCTCAACATCCAATTCAAACAAGTCATGCAGAAACTACTCATCTACCGGATGAAGAGATTCTCATGACACAAGATGACAAATGGGTAATGTACTTCGACGGTGCATCCAACCAAAAAGGATGTGGCGTAGGAGTGTTACTCATAAGTCCAGAGGGAACACATACTCTAATCTGTGTAAAATTAGACTTTGAGGTTACTAATAATGCCGCGGAATGTGAAGCGTGCATTATTGGATTAAAAGCAGCAGCTAGCATAGGTGTGCAAAAATTAGAGGTATATGGAGATTCCAGTTTGATTATAAATCACATATTGAAAAAATGGAAAATAAAGAACTCCACAATGATATTATACCAAGCACACTTAGAGCAACTCATCGAGCATTTTGAACATATTGACTTCAAATATCTCCCTAGGGATGATAATCAATTTGCCGATGCGCTAGCAAAATTAGCCTCAATGATCAACATTCCAGATCACTTAAATATGATGCCATTATGCGTTGATAAAAGAGAAGAACCATCATATTGCAACGCAATGGTGGAAATAAATGACATAGAAGGAAACAATCCTTGGTATGATCATATCCTCCAATATATTACTCATGGCACATATCCCGAAAATACTTCATCGAAAGACCAACGGGCCTTACGAACACTTGCGGCTCAATACGGTCTATTAATTGGTCAATTATGCGAAAAGGACCTAATGGTCAAAGTTTGTTATGTATATACCAACCCGAAACCACACGCCTTATGAAGAATACTCACAAAGGTGTCTGTGAACCTTACATGAATGGTAAAATGCTCGCAAAAATAATTTCACGACAAGGGTATTATTGGTCCACTATGGAACATGATTGCATACAATATGTCAAGAAATGTCCAGAGTGCCAAATGTTTGCTAATTTACAACACCTTCCACCATCTAAACTATATAATCTCACTTCCCCTTGGCCCTTTTCAACTTGGGGAATTGACAAAATTGGAAAGGTCTCTCCAACAGGAGTAGGATGGCACGAGTACGTATTAGTAGCCATCGACTACTTCACTAAGTGGATTGAGGCTTCTTCTTACGTTAATATCACTTCTAAACATGTCGCAAAGTTTCTCGATCGAAACATATTTTGTTGATATGGAGTTCCACGCGAACTAATTAGTGATCAGGGGTCACAATTCAAAGCTGAAGTTGAGAGCCTCTTAACTCATTATAAAGTAAAACATCATCACTCATCCCCATACAGACCTCAAATGAATGGAGCTGTAGAATCAGCAAATAAACATATGACAGTCATCATTAAGAAAATGGCTGAAAATTATAAAGACTGGCCGAATAAACTACACTTTTCACTATGGGGTTATATAACGTCTATACGAACATCAATAGGGGTAACTCCATACTCCTTAGTTTTCGGAATGGACTCAGTTCAACCAGTCGAACTGGATATACCATCCCTACGCATCGTACTCGAAAGTAAGCTGCCGGAAGCTGAATGGGTAAGAGCGAGGTATGAAGAAATCTTTTTGCTCGATGAACGACGATTAAAAGCTTTGCATCATGTACAAGTCTACCAAAGGCGCATTGCGCGTCATTTTAATAAAAGGGTAAAACGTAGAAACATAAAAAACTAGTAGAAAAAGGCTCATTTGCGTCGCCATTTTTGCGTCACTCATTCTAAAGGACGAAGCAAATGTATATTTTTACCATCCTTTAAAGTTATTTGCGTCGCTTGTTTTTAAAGAAGCGACGCAAAAGTCAAGTGTATGTTAGCTTTCTATCATTTGCGTCGCTCTTGTTTATATTTTTACCCTTGTAAATCTTGGTCGACGAGGGCATCTAGCTGATCCATTTATATTAGCTTCACAAGAAAAACAAGTTTTTTACATGGCTGACCCAGCTGATTGTAAGTGGTCAGTTGTTTTAGAAAGTAAAAGAAGGATACTTGGCATTGAAGATGTTGTGGACGAGGAAGAATATGATGAGCAATTTAATAAGTCCCCACCTTCCGTTTGGAGCATCCCTCCAATAGTCGATGATTTTGACACAACGTTGAAACGAAAAGATCATAATGAAGGATTTTATGTCGCAAAAGAGAAGAATGAAGTAGGTATGAATTCTGTGATTTTTTTTTCCAATATGTGTTAGTAATTGCATAAATTGCTTATTATTGTTATGTGTATAAGTTTATAATTTAAAAATGATACAAATCGATGTCTTAATTTATTTATGTCTTTTTTTTTTCAGGTAAGTAATAATGGAGGATGAGGATATGCATAATCGTTCCATGTCTTTGCAATGTGAGGAAGATGAGCCACACAATCAATCACAATCAGAGCTACAAATAACCGACTCTCAGAAGAAGAAAAAGAAGCCAAGAGGTCCTTCAAAGGGCCTGAAATCCATGTCTAGGGTTCCTAGAGTGCTTGAATGGGATGAAATGTGTCGACCCATTGGAAAGTGGGCAAAAGCATACAAAATTCATGTTGGTGAAATAAGCCGTGCAAAGGTGTCTATATTGTATAAAGATTGGAATCAAGTTCCACAAGGAATAAAAGAAACTTTGTGGGAAGATGTTAAGGTAATATTCACTACTATATGTTAAATGTTATACTATTATATGATCATTTTGACATCATTTTGACATTTTTTTGTAGAGAGAGTTTCAAATCGAAGAAGATGAAGACAAGAAAAAAAAAGGTCCTACGCACTTGTGATAAAACTTGGAGAGATTTTAAAACAAAATTGGTCAGTGGTTGGATCACATGTTCCAGGAATATGCCGAAGGAGAAAAGAATGCCGTATGTACTCTATGATTTCATATCAGAGGATATGTAGAAAACATTTGTGGAGGAGCATACTACAGATGATTTTAAGGTTTGTGTGTATTAATATCAATGATCATGCGGGTTAATACTTTGTTAACAGATTCTTATGTACTAATCTTCATTTATGCTTGTGAAAATAGGAAATCGGTGAGAAGGCAAGACAAAGCCAGTCTTTCAACGAATACCCTCACCATTTAGGAGCCAAATCATATGGTGAAATGAATATTGTATGGCGTAGAAAAGGGTACATTCCCACGACATCTTCAGCATCCAGTACTTCATCTTGTTCTTCGTTTGTGTCTAGTTTGCCGGATAGGACATATGCTTGGCTTCTAGCAAGATCAATAGAAGATGATAAGGGAAATCCTTATTTTCCGGATGAGAAAACAAGAGAGGTGAAAGAATCCATTGTAAGTATGTAATAAGTCTTTATTTCAATTTTGAATATATTTTGTTAAGTTTATGTATTGCAACTAAAGTTTTCTAACTTGAAGTCATTGTGTAGGATAATTGGAGAATGCAACAAGCTGAAGGAAAATTTGTTCCTAATAGGCATGATGATGTCTTATCTCGTGCCCTTGGGAAAAAAGATCGTAATGGTCGGGCAATAGCATTTGGCAGTGGAATTGGCATTAAAGCTGTATGGGGATCCGGAGAGAGGCGTAGCAGCCGACGGGGTAGGGAATTCGGAGATGATGAGCTGGAAGAATTAGAGGCAAGAGTAGCCTTGAGGGTACGAGAGGAGACTATGCAGGAGATGGATTCTAAAATGGATTCCATGGTTCAAGAGAAGTTTATGTTATTTGCTAAACAGATTGGTATTCAAATTCCAACTGAATTGATGGAAATGAATAACATAGGCCGGACGACTCAACAAAATCCTAGTAGTTGCCAATAAGTGGGTGATGATCCATTTGCAAACATACAAGTATCCAAAACTTTGTTATTTTATATTTTTTATCTTTTTTTTTAATGATTTATGACTGCGACATTCTTTTAACTTTGTAACTCAGTTTTCTATATTTTTTAATTATGATTTTTTTCTATCTTTGTAAGGAACCGGTTCCTTGTCGGCTATCATTGTTGAAAAATGACTCTGAGAAAGTCATTGTCGCTGAAGGTACATATCATCCGGAGTTAATCCTTGATCATCATAGTAACCTCATTCCGTATCACGTGAGGGTGAGTGTTGATGATTTTTTTTACGAGTTCAAAGAATTCTCGGTTCCAGTTCCTTCTTCAGTCATCAAGAAACTTAAGCATGCTCACGTTACATTTACCCAATGGCCAAAAGACTTGGTTTCACTCATGCATGACAAGGTAAATTATTTTTGTAACAATTTACATATACTTTGCCATACAAAATATAGAAAATTGTTGAATAGATTTGGTTTACTATTGATTAGGAATTCATATCAAATAAGAACAATGGTAACAACAAAGAGGCCAAATAAAACATGCAAGACAAACTGAAAGTAGTTGAAAGTGGTCACGAAACAAAAGAGTCCAACACCAATCCAAAAAAAGTTTTTCTTATGGATTATGCTTTGGAAAACTTGTCTCAGAAGTGTGGGTCTTTGAATAGTTTGTTATCTTCATTACCCAAAGGTGAAACTATTAAGGTAAAGGTTGATGCTTGGACCTTTAGTTATGAAGACAGTAAGGACATCATTATCAAACGTGAAGATGTCAATCAACTTCTCACAGGAGCTTGGCTGAATATTTCAGTTTTGCAAGTTTTTATGATGTAAGATATTCAAATTTCACTCTTCCCATATATATACTTATTTATTACCATTTATAATGTTATTACATGATATATATGTAGGGCCTTGAGTGACTTACTCGATACGGAGGAAGTGGCTTCCATTGGATTCATGTGTCCGGAAATGATTTCAGAAACTTATTTGCATAGTGATGCTGATCGTATCCTACTATACATGACACATGTGATGGAAAAACAAAAATCTAAGCATTTCATCTTATGCCCATACAATGAAAAGTATAAACTTTGAACTTGTATTTATTTGAACTTTGCAAATTGTTGATATTATTTTACTCTTTTACAAATGTGTGTCTAATTTATTATGTAGGAATCATTGGGTTCTTTTGGTCTTATGCATGCCTAAGCGTGAAGTCATCATCTTTGACTGATGAGGCAGAAGCGAAATTTAGCAATTAAGTTTGCAATGACAAAGTAAGTCTAGTTTGTTATTGATGTCATGATTTTATGTGTGTAAGGGTAATATATATGTTATTTGTTTCAAATGTGTAGTGCTTTTCGAAGTTTTAAAGCATTAAGTGGACAATCTAGGGGAAGTAAATTGACATGGCATTTGGGACAGGTTACCTTAATTTCTTACCCTAACTTTTAGTTTCTTAATAATTTAAGTATAGCAATTTAATTCAACTTATAAATATATTACATGTAGTGTCCTCAACAATTGGGTGGACGTGAGTGTGGCTACTACGTCATGCGTTATATGTACGAAATACTTTAACATCACCATAGCAGTGAGGATCTTATTCAGGTATGAGTTTTCATATATTTCATTTTTGTTTGATAAATACAATTTGATGTTTGCTACAATCTTGAATTAAAACTTTCCTCTTGTATATTTGTTGTGTTGATAGGATTTTTCAAGAATTACACCGTACACCGAGGAGGAGATAAATGAGATTCGAGATATTTGGGCAGAGTATTTTATATGTAATGTTGAACTTTAGATTTACACTTAGCGCATGTTGGACTATTGTTTTGGATTATAGTCTTGAAATGAATGAATTTGGTTCATTTGTGTTGGGATGATGAGTATAATGTCTATGATATTGAGATGTAAATTATTGGACTGGTTGTTAATATAATGCCGTCATTCCCAATTTTATGGGTAGGCCAAATTACAAAGGAGACTCTGCCGAAATTTACATTTGCATTATTCAATAATATTGCATTTTAATTTCAATTATATTAGCGTTAGCATATTACTTTATACCACTAGTAAGGAAAACAGGTACTACAAACATATACAAGGCAATTATTATAATTAGAAAAAAAAAATTCACCTCATTTGCGTCACTACTATATAAACAAGTGACGCAAATAACAAATAAGAAGTTTATCAGAAGAGTCATTTGCGTCGCTCTTAATAGAGGAGTGACGCAAATAACAAAAAAGAAGTTTATCAGAAGAGTCATTTGCGTCGCTCCTTTATAAAGAAGTGACGCAAATAAGAGTCATTTGCGTCGCTCTTTTATAAAGGAGTGACGCAAATAACAAAAAAGAAGTTTATCACAAAAGTCATTTGCGTCGCTCTTTTATAAAGGAGTGACACAAATAACAAAAAAGAAGTTTATCACAAAAGTCATTTGCGTCGCTCTTTTATAAAGGAGTGACGCAAATAAAAAAAAAGAAGTTTATCACAAAAGTCATTTGCGTCGCGCCTTTATAAAGGAACGACACAAATGACTTTTAAGTCATTTGCGTCGCGAGTAGTTGCGTCGCTCATAGAAGCGACGCAAATACACTATAAATGAGCGACGCAAATAAGCCTTTTTCTACTAGTGAAAGAAGGTGACTTTGTACTAAAGGAGGTTAGGGGTCCACCTACTAATCCAAGAGGAAAATTTAAACCTAATTGGATCAGTCCCTACCGCGTGATTGCAATCCTATCAGGAGGAGCCGTCAGATTAATGGACATTGGTGGAGATGAAATTCGCCAATTAATAAACATTGATCGACTTAAAAAATATTACATATGATATCCGGATTACTCGTTCATTCGTACAACCAACTTTAAATTAGCATTCAACTAAAAGATTCTAAGTGTTATGCATTTTATCGAACAACACGATAAAATACATAACACTTGGGGGGGTAATTCAAGAATAATAAACCATTCTAAGTGTTCAGATTTTCTTCGAACTTCACGGAAAAAAAATCTTCATACTTGGGGGGTAAATAGCACAAAAATAATTTTTTTTTGAATCACTCGTAGCACAAAAAAAAACATAATAAAAATGTGTAACATTCTAAGGCTTCACTATATCCTCGATTGTCACGGATAATGGAGGAGTAGTTTCCATTGCCGTATTTTCAGAAACCTTAGAACTCTCCCCTACATTGTTCTTTAATTTGGGAATAGGAGCCTTTTCTACCCTTTTTCCTTTTTCTGAAGCTTTTGTTAGAGTCTTTTTTTGGGTTTGTTGCGAAGGTTCCTTGATTATCACGCCTTTTTGTGCAGGTTTGGAAGGAGCTTTCCTTTTGGATTCCTTCAAACGCGCCTTAGGAGATGAGAAGTCCAATTTTCTTCTCACTCCTTTGCTTTGACCACTAGGAGGAGTAGTGGTGGTCGAATGCACTAGAGGCTTAGGTGGATTGCGAGTTGTTGCAATTTGATATTGAGAACGGGCTTTTTTTAACTCGCCCTTGTCCGCTGCATTCATCCAAGCCTTATAAAAGAAGATAATACAATATTCGCAGTAGGATTTTGTACTACCCATCTTGGAAGACTTGACCAATACTCTATCCAACGAAAAATTCGCTCGGGTCTAAAAGACACATCCTTGGGTGCATCACAATCTTGCGAGGGTATAATCTGTTTCATCCAATATTGTCTCATTACCCTGCAAGGAAAGATGTAAGAAGCGCTAGATAGGCCTAAAAGCCTAATGTAAGGGCAATTGTGACTACTCCCAACCATACTATTTATGTTCCACCAAGGAATCACAAAGCGTATGTTAGGAACCCCGTGACAAAATAACGACGTCCACTCCTCTTCATTCTTATGCTTGTAAAGGATTCGACGTCTAGGGAATGTCCGCACTCCGTTGGCCTCAATGTTTTGTGGCTGGTCGACTATTTGCAAACGCTTCATGAGCCAAATCTGAAAAAAAGTAAAAAAAAAAAATCAGTTTGCGATTTTACACGAGCAAGTGGCGCGCACATCTTGAGAAGTTGCGCGCACCATCCGCACGCAGCATGGAAGATTGCGCTGGCAGTGCCAGCGGAACTCCTTAACATGAGCTCAAAATACGAAAAAAAAGCTTACGTGTAATAGGAGTGGACTCCCGGGTGAAGCCATTTTCGTTAGGAATTCCTCTAAGGCGATTCAAGCATAGAATGGTTTCCGCCAAAGCCAAAGGAGCGGGTGAATGACATCCCTCTATTTGCTCAACTACAGACACCATGGAATAGTCTCCATATTCTTTGCCTGTCCTAAGTAAATAGTTGACAACAAGACAATAACATAAAGCACAAATTTTAAAGCGTTGTTTAGTCATGTTGTCACGAGGGGCGACGAAATGTTCAATAAATTGAATTGAATTCACGCCTGCATCAGTTCCAATATTAGTCATGTCATTGTCAGACAAGCCGAAAAATCTTTGAAATACAGGTTTGGGATCTGATAATGGAGGCGAATAAGTCACGAGGAGAGTATTTGTAGGGAAGCCTAGCAAGGCCTCAAACTCACCAGGAAGGGGAATAATTTCGTCCCCTTTAAATAAGAAAAGATGGTGGTTGGAATCCCAATGGTTAACCGCGGCATGAAGGAAGTCAAAATTAATCACTAATTGCATATAGTTCAATAGAGGATCTAGGTGATAAATTTTGAAAGCTAGTTTGTCCTCGTTTGCAAGGGAGGGGACCCATTGCTTCAATCGTTGTTCAAAGGTTTTTACCATTGTTCAATATTAAAAAAAAGAGAGAGAAGAAGAAAATAAGAATTTAGAGAGATTATTTCTTTTAGTTCTTATAAATTACTAAGAGAATGAATGCGAGATGATCAGAAACCTATACGAAGCCATGTTTAAATAGACCCAAGAAGGGCAAATTTTTGGCAATTTTCGCCCAAAGGAAAGTTCAGAAACAGGTGGCGCACACAACTCATGAAGTTGCGCGCGACATCCGCGCGCAACTAAATCACATGCGCGCGACAACCGCGCGCAACTCCTTCAGATGCGCCCGTCTCCTCTGTCGCGACATGTGGTTTAGGATTATTTCTGTATTTTGACTTACATAATAACGGAATCTTAACGAAATCTTAAGACTAATAATATACCTGCCTTTTGCTAACTCTTGTGTTCTTTATTTCCTTTTCTTTTTTTATTTTATTTTATTTTTTCTTGTTTTCTTTCTTTTGTTTTCTTTTTTCCTTTTTCTCTCTTTCTTTCCTTTTCCTTTCTTTCTTTTGTTATTTTTTCGAGGGGGGTAAGTCGAGAACCCTTTCCCTCCCTCGGAATTTTTTTTGTTTTTTTAGTACACATGGAAACAAAAGAAAAATAATAATATGACATATACAAAAAAAAACGAAAAATGTGTGTCATATGTACAACAAAAACAAGAAATCTATGTACAATGTTTCCTAAAAAATAATAATAATAAAATGTGTACAAAAGGGCTCAGGGTGCTCTGCGACTGCTAGACGGCTGTTGTACATCCTGTAAAATCCCAAACCGAAGATTAATACATGCAATGTAATAACTTCGTCAAAAAAATATATATATAAAACTTACCGCAATCATCCGATGATCACGGCATGACAAAGTTATGAGGGCTCTCCGATAAGCAGCTCGAAAAGCACGTAAGGTCCTCACCATGTCGTTCACGGTTTCCCGCGGAATCTGTTCCAAAAAAAATACAAGGACATTTAATAGATAAATGTATATGAAACAAAAATAGAAGTATTTTATGTACATATGTAAAAGGACATACCGACTCAACGGTCTCAGGAACAAACGGTATCCCCTCATCATCCTCCGCTGCAGGAAGGATCTCACGAATTACCGATCCAACGACATCGGTATACGTGATCTCCGCTGAAGGAGGCACCCTATCACCTAGCTCGACCCGCTAAAAAATATATAAAAAATAAAACGATAAAAAAAGAGGGTCGAAGTTCCAAAAAAAAAATATATATAAACAAAAAAAGAGAATCGAGATACTAACCGGAACAAAAGCTGGGAAAGGAGTAAGCCTGGATGCAATAAAAGCCGGATAGGAAACATCCGGCAACACAAGCTGATCCGCTGGATAACCAAGGATCGCCTGAGCTTGATCCTCGGTCGACAGCAAATCCGGACGTAGCATCCGAACCGGAGGATGCATAGGGACCACAGGCTCCTCTGACGAATGCTGCTAGAGAACGCGCTCGCCTAAAAACCAAGCGTCCGTGCTCTGCAGCACTGGAAGTCCCGAGTAGAGAGCCCGGAACTAGCAATGAACCATGCCAGACTGGATATCCTCAGGAACAAAAAATAGCATAAACAAAAATCTACCATTATTCTTGTCCTCAACCATTCCTCTAGTATACTCTTTAATGCCCCAATAGGCTATACCACAAGCATCACAAAGAGAACACCCATGGTAACTAAGGAAACCATCTAGTCTTTCAAAGTAAGCATAGAAGGGTTCGCCATCAAATTGAGGAAAAGATAAGCATGCCATTTTTATACAAAGAACAAAGAAAAGCAAACAAAAATCAAATAATATACAAGAACC